TGATGTCTTATATCTTTATTTTTAGTAATACACCTTTTTAATAAAGATTTTATTATGATCACTTAGCCTAATTTTAATGAACTCTAAAACATTTTATTCATTGGTTGTGTGAAGCAATTTTTAATAAGGCTTTTGGCAAGGATATTGTTAATTTAAACTAGAGAACACTTTCAGCTCTGTAAGTCTGCAGGGCTTAGTTAGACCTGACACCTTGGATGATACATTCAAAGTGCATCAGTGAAAACCTCTAAGTGCTTTAATTTAAATCACGGTTGAGAAACAGATTAACACATTTTTAAGTATCTCATACAGTCAGTCAGACATAATTTTAAAAAAGTCATTATTTAACAGTTATCAGGCCCTTTTTATCAAGACTTCATATCCTGATAATAAATAAGTGATTTAAAAAAAAACTGCAAAATGAAAATATTATTGGTCATAGACTCTCTTAACCATGAGTGACAAAAATGTTTTGTTTTGCTTTGTTTTTGGTGCCTCATTTAGGATTATTACGCACATATCTTTGAGAAAAAAAAAGAGACACTAACATGCATTTGAAGGAAACATAAAAGTACTTTTTTTTAATTCTTACTTTACCACCATTTTTGCTCCCATTTCTAAGTATTGTGCTACTTAGAAGTGCTCTAAACTCAACCTTATAATTCAGACTTCTGAGATTTCAAAATGAAGCAATGAGCAGAGGGCAAATAGCAATGAGTAATTCTCTTATTAAAAAGTGTATTTTGACCCTGGTTAACCAAACTGCTGAAATTTGTAATTTGTAGTAAGTTTATTTGAAACAGAGGTATTATCAGGATGCCAGTAAATATTTGATTATCCCCACAAAATACATGGAGCCATAATTAAATTTTATATTGAGATGATTTTTTCTTGCTGTTTTGACAATCTTTACCTATAGGTATAAAATATTGTACATTTTTGGGTACTCTAATTCATAACTACAGGGATTTGCTGTAATAACGGCATTAAGTTTATTTGACCGCTCTTGTTGAATTTTGAAAATGTTGTGGGTCCTTCTGGGGAGCAAATCTGGATGAGTTGGCACAAAGTAAAAGGACAAAAATGTAATCTCAAGCAAAGGATGGATTCCGTGACGCCTGTGAGCTGGGTCTAAGATGTTTAATTGTGTCATTACTGATTGGCTTCATATTGCTGGTGTGTGTTACCAAATGAACTGACTGATTCCCAGACGTCTTCCTGGGCTGATCAAGGAAAGGGAACTATTTATAACTTGGCTTCAGGATAGTGGAGCCCAGTGCTGGTTTGCAGATTACATGACCTCTTAATTTTTCACAAAATTAATATTTTTATAGTTAAATTGAATTCAACTAGGAGAAGGATATTTGTTGGTTTTATAGCACCCCAAATATCCACAATGAATACACACACACACAAGATTAAAGTTGCTAGAAAAATAAAAGACAAAGCAAGCCAGGCAAGCTTCAGTTACAAGGCAGGACCTCTGGGAGTTGAGACTGTCTCTGGAGCCATATTAAATTTTAAATATTTTTTAAAAAGTTGAAGTTGCAAAGGGTATCAAATTTGTGTTTAATGAGTATAAATGATATGAACGCCTGTTTGAGTAATGAAGAAAACTGGAAAATAGCATTTCATGTGAATTCTTCTTACTTCACATCCCTGTTTTCAGTGATAAAATTTTCAAACTTGATGGAAGCATTAGAGAGCCACAACTTTGATAAAAGTGATTGCAGGACGATCTATGTAATTTATAATTACATACTTACGTAAGTAAATATAAATTATTTACTTATGTATTAATTTTTTTAACTTCCTAAATGTCTAAAAGGTATTGATAAAAGGAAATCGCACTCCTATGAAAACATGCTTGTGTAATCAGGAATGCTAGCTAGCTTGAATCTGAGGCTTCATAATTTCAAATCTATTGTGAATGTTTTGAGTATTGAAGAGTTGCTGAATTATAAGATGTATTATGTTTAATGGAGCCTTGGTGGCTCAGTAGTTAAGAGCTTGGCTGCTAACCAAAAGGTCAGCAGTTCAAATCCACCAGGAGCTCCTTGGAAACCCTTAAGGGCAGTTCTACTCTATCCTATAGAGTCGCTATGAGTTGGAATTGACTCGAAAGCAATGGGTTTGGTTTTGGTTGTATTATGTTTAATGGCCTGTACACATTAAGGCTAGTAAGAGAATATCCCTTTCAGTAAATTTTACTGGCTAATCCTGCTTCGTCTGATGACCAAGTCCTTAAAGATTTCTATGATTTATATAGAAAGGGGAAAAAGCAGCATTATGTTCATTTGTTAGAAAATGAACTGTACTTTAGTTTTATTTCTCTGAGATAAACAGTATATTTTCCAGATTTTCTAAATTTAAAATCTGGTTAATAGTCAGATTCATAATCAGACTTTTTATATTTGAGGAGAAATTTTCTTAGTGTGTATTCTTTATTTGGAGGCAAAAAAGTAGATCAAATAAGATATTACCAATGGCTCTTACTACTCTAATAAATTGGAAATCTCAATAGAAGCAGTACACCAATTCATTATTCAGAATAACTTTAATAATTTTCCCTTATCAATTTATATCTCTCTTTGCTGTTACTTTATAATTTTAGCATTTTAAAAATGACACTTTCCCTCACTTATCAACTTCTATCTGATTGAGTTTGAAGTGTAACTAAATAGTGACAATTATGATTTAAGATAAGACTTTTCTGGAATTCATGAAGGATCTATTCTGTTTTTCTTACTCTCCATAATAAAATCACCACTTTTGTTGAGAAATCATTGTCATAATGCCCGGTGTTTTATTATTGTTGTTGTTGTGACTGGTATTGTGACTGGTATTGTCATTAGAAACCCTAGCGGACGGGAGTGCTTTGGCTGGTCTGTTGTTGATTTTATACCCACCCAGAGCAATAAATGGCACAAGGGTCCACAGGAAAATTAAACTGCTTCATTTAAAATAAGGGCCTAAATTTACATGAGAATGTGGGTTGTAAAATGAAATATAAATTTTAGTTGATGAATAATGACAGAAGTAATTAAACATGGCATGAAAAGCACAGCCTAGGGACTTGAGTGGATCCAAATGTGGCTAACATTTTTGTTTCTCAAATTTTAACTGGAAATGCTTAAGTCTTAAATCTTGGTTATTAGCGCCCCCTCCCTGCCCCCCAATCTCTTTTTGCTCTTTCATACTAGTCATATAACCAGGCCAGTCTCCTCTGCATTCATCTGAAGGAGACTGGAAAGTGTGGAGATAGTGCTATTTCAATATTAGTTACCTGAAAACAAAAACAAAAACCAAACCCACTGCCATCCAGTTGATTCCAACTCATAGCGACCCTGTAGGACAGGGTAGAACTCCCCCGTAGGGTTTCCAAAGCCCTTTAAATCTGGTTAATTATCAAATTCATAATCTTTACGGGGCAAACTGCCATGTCTTTCTTCTGCTGAGCGGCTAGTGCGTTGAAACTGCCAACCTTTCGGTTAGGAGCTGAGTACTTAACCACTGGGCCACCAGGGCTCCTCTCAGTTACCTTAGACAACCTAAAAATCTCCTAAAACTTTAAATGAGTTAATAATATTTTTAAATACTAAATAGTTGTCTTATTTACTATAACTATCTTGAGTCTAAAGTCAAGATTTTCACATCCATTAAAATTGCCTTAACACATTTTACATTAAGATAAAATCCCGTTTGTTATATAACCTTTATTATTGACTCTTAGAAATTATTTGTGTAAGATTTTAAGCAATAATTTTAAAAATATGATAGTTTAAAATTTTCTACATTTGCTTCATTAGTAAAGAATTGAAGATAAAATTGACCATAGAAAAGGAAAACATGCATCTTTTCTAAAAGCTAAAATGAGGTTCTTTGAGTTAGAAATTAGTATAGCATCAAAAAATGGCTGCAGCCATTCTGTCTAAGCTTTGTGCCCCAATGTTCAAATGTAAGTGTACTTTTTAAGGATTTTTTAGAACTGATGTGACAAAGCGTAAAATGTGGCAGCTCAAAACCATAAGTATAAATATAAATGAGTTACAACTCTGTAGTGATGGCGAAACAATGTCTTCTTAAACTAAAGACTTCCTGACAACTTCTAACATTAGTCATACTACCTGACAGTTGTAAAACCGCTTCCTCTTGATCACAATGTCAAGGTTGATACTTTCAGATAACTCTTGTCAGTTTCCCAGAACTGACACCCACAGACAGAATACAAAACATTAAAGGAAGTATATAATTTAAATATTCTTTTTAAAAGTGGGTAACTATGTTTTTGATTTTCCAAAGTTGAATTGGCTTCACTGTATAAAGTTCCAAGGATTAAGTAATAAAATATTCAACCTTCAATCTGTTGCTTTGTTTTCAGCCCAATAGCCATGTTTCTCAGTATCTGTTGCTTTTAAAAATTATCTTTGGGGAAGGAGCTCACGTTAATAAAGTATATTATATATCATATTGTATTATATTGTATCACATTATATTAACGTAAAACTAGAACATTTTTAGTAAAAATTAAACCCAGTTTGACTAGGTGCATGTTTATACCTAAACTTTCTGCTAGCATTCTTTAAAAATGCTCCAACTTTCTATGGTATCAAACTGTTTTATTAAAAGGAGGAGATATTATCTGGTTTATTCAAAACCTTAAAATATGTTTAAACAGTTCTACCTTCTTTAATAAAATGTTAAACTTGAGATATGTTAATGAACAATTAAGAATATAGAGGTAAGTAAAATTTGTTTTTAAAAATTACATAAATAGTTCTCTCTAAATTTTAATACCACTCATGTCAGATATGAATAAGACAAAAACTTTAATTAATGTATTCAAAGGAAGAAAACATATAGTTTAGAAACATCCAAAGGATCTTTTATATATATATATTTATTTGTTTGTTTGTTTATGTATTTGTTTGTTTTAATTTTGTTTGGCTAATTATTTTCAAAAAATCTCAGAATTTAGCTAAATATTTTTTTGTTTTTAGGAACTCTCAGAAAATGAAGTGGTTGGATCTTGTTTCTCTGTGAAGTCTTTCTTTTGGAGGGTAATGTCTAAATCCTTTGTATTAACTTTCTTAAGTTTTGGTTCCAGATGGGAATTTGAAAGTTAAATGGGAGTTAAGAAATTCACTTTTAAAAATAGATTCTCAGATATATTCATTCACCTTCTTTATTAACTTTTATTCTAAGATATCTAGGTGACTGACTGTTATTTCTTCATTTATGATTAAGAACTTCATATAGTTAACATATTGCTTTGAAGTGAGTTCTTTGTGGAACCAGCTTTATCCCAAATTCTTAAATAGCTTTCTCCAAAACCCTTTTCTCTGTTTTCTTATGACTCACAATGAATTCATATTGTTTACTCCTTTGCCAAGAGAGTGGAACCCAGGTGTGTTCTGTGATGAGTTTGTTCTATGAGCAGTGAATGTGCAGACTTCGTTGAGAAGGAAGACTTTCCACCAGAACTAACTCCATAATTAATGCTTTTTTAAGGGCTACGCTTTCAAATGGCTCATCTTTCAACATTCTTCTTTCCACTTGACTACTACCAAATGAGTCTTCCACTTAACAGTGTTTTCTGTGAGATTATATTCATCCTCAAATGCTCTTTATTAATCTTTCTCAATCTCTTGAGCTGTCTGATTTTTTAATAACAAATGTGCAATTTAAAAAGATAACTTTTAGGTATCCAAGGTACAGTGGTCAAATGTCTTTTTCTGGGTGTATGGTAAGTGACAAACAAACTGAGTCACAAAGACACACCTTTAGAGGTCATTTAATTTACCATTTAGGAAACTAAGGCCCAGAGAAGTGTTGTCATTCCCCTGGAGTACCCAGGTGGGGTGATCAGAAACAGTATTTTTTTTCACTTTCTGAATGTCATAGAAATAAATGTTTGGGTAACGACTTAAAGCAGTGGGGTTTCTCTTTGGATTGATGAGGAATAGGGAAGCCATTTGTAAACAAAACTGCCCCCTTAGTTTGTGTTGACTGGCATCCTTTTAAATTCCTCTTGTGTTTTGTGATCCTTTCCTTAGCATCTCCTTAAGCCATCCATTAATGGATGTGTTTGAGGGCCATGAGGTTGCTGTGTTTAATGGCCTATTTTACAAAACCAGAAAGTCAGTGACCAAGCCTACTTTGGAGAGCATGATCTTTTATATTCACATTCACAGGTCACTCGGATAACTGACACCGTTGTTCTTTAAATACTGGTATTCTGATGAACTTTCAGAGGAGATGTATATGAAATTTTCAGACATGCAGAAAACTTAAATAACTCAGATAAAATCTTATGCTTTGTGAGCTGAACAGGATGTGATTTGGAAGAAAATTTGATCAAATTAATTTTATAAGGATCAATATATGTGTCCAGGAGATAGCCACGAAGTTACTGAGTAAAAATGAATCCTGGTGAGAACATGCTCAACCAGAGTGACGGTTCTACTTGCTATATCTTAATTTTCTTGAGGGCAAAGTAATTAAAAGAAAAGAATGAAGTGATACAGGGATATTCTAGTTTTCCAAAGGCATAACACTTAGAATGCAGCAAAACACCATGTTTTAGGGTACAAAACATAAAGCAATGCATATGCAGTTACCATATTTCTCATGAAAGCAATAAAAATTATGTGCAATCAAATTGGATTACCCTGATTAAATAAACATTTCATTAAAGAATTTTAACTTCTGGTTGAAAGGTCGTAACTTTATGCAGTTCTTTCAAATATTTAGCATATGTAACTTTCTTCCCAGTTATCTCTATTGAATGGACATCCAGATTCTGATGACTGGGAGTTAGTGGAATAAACCATCTTACAAGAACATTGTAGTAATTAAAGAGAAATTTCACTATTTTTAAAGTGGAGAAGACTAGGCTATGCCAAGATACCTCATGTAAAAAATGGAAAAAAGGATCATAATACAAAGGGCAGAGGGTACAGAGAATAATACAGAACAACTCAGTTATGTCAGAGCACCCCCTTATGGTGGGGCCAAGCAAAAGCATGGTTGAAGGAAGGCATTGTAGACTAAAAAGAGTTGTTGTTAGGTACCCTTGAATCATAGCGACCTATAGGACAGGGTAGAACTGCCTGGTAGGGTTTCCAAGGAGCGCCTGGTGGATTTGAACTGCTGACCTTTTGGTTAGCAGCCAAGCTCTTAGCCACTATACCACCAGGACTCCTTGCTTATGATCCTGCGTTGCAGCTATATTCTGCACAGCTCAACTATATATGACATACACCCATTGAAAAGTTCAGGTATTATCTCTATGTGGTAGATAGGCAAGCCTCTCAGAAAACAGTGTTTGTAACTTTTAATTAAAAGTCCAAAAAAGAGGACTCTACAACTCAAACGCAGGCCTCATCATTCCTTTACCATAAAATTATAACATATATGTAATGATTTTCTACTAGTGTATAGGAAACCTTGGTGGCATAGTGGTTAACAGCAACAGCTGCTAACCAAAAGGTCGGCAGTTCAAATCTATCAGACACTCCTTGGAAACCCTATGGGGCAGTTCTACTCTGTCCTATAGGGTCACTGTGAGTCAAAATTGACTCGATGGCAATGAGTTTGTGGGGTTTTTTTTGTTTTTGCTTTAATTAGTGTATATTTTGAGCAAAGATAATAAAAGCTTAACAATTGTTGCTTGGCCACAGTTAAGGTTGGAGAGGTAGTTCAAAATCTAAAGTGCACATAAATACTTTCTTGGCACCATAAATTGCATCAAGAAGCAATAGAAATAGGGAAAGAAAGTTTAAGGATTAAAAAAATCAGGGGAATTTCTCTAAGGATTATAGTGCCAGTGAATCATCTTCTAAGAAAAAAGGGATCGAATCTTTATTATTAGATGAGACACTTCAAACGAGGCTGGACAAAGCACTGGGAGGGTTTTCCGTGAAGGCAATCCCGCTTTGAGAGGATGGATGGACTACAGAACAAATCTACTTGTTGGACTTCATCATCGTGGGCAATTCACTGGAATAAACTCAGTAGGAAAAGGAAAAGATAGAGCCTGCCTATGCCTGGGATTGAGCTCATAATTGCTCCACGCTCCAGGCTTTGCAGCACAAAACAGTCCTTCTAGGCTGTCATTATCTCTTCTTTGTAGCGTCTCGTGGATCATTTGATTAAATAAAGGCACACGCACCCAGTGCTGAAAACAGACGAAAGGGCTGACTCCACACATGGCTTATTGTAAACACACAGCAGTGTCTTTCACTCCAGTTTCACAGTGCCTGGGTCTCATTTGGAAGGATTAGGTTGTGCACAGGTAATAAAACCCAGGGTAACAAAAAAGAAGGATTATTTGTCCGCACCAGGAAGAGGATTGGCATGGCTGAGTGGTTCTTTGCCCTGTGTTAAGGCTAAATAGATTTTTTATTTTGGTTTGTTTTTTAATGAGGATCTATCTACAATAATATGAGACAGTGATCCAGTTTTTCAAGGAATGTAATTAATAAACTTCATTAACTAGAATTGAAATATAGAGGTGTTCTCAATTTATATGCCAGATTCTACAGCTTCCCAATTCATTAATGGAATTTAGACTATACTTTATTATGGAGTACGGTTAAGTCTCATATGCTTTATATGAACCTAACAGGGTTATTACCTAGAGTTATTACCACCTGCGTTTTATTTCCTCTATGCCTTTGATTAGCCTTTCTCAACAATCTGTACCCAAGGATATATTTCATCTAAGCATAACACAAAACATTTCCGTAAATCCTGTACCAATTAAATCCCCTTTTTTTTTTTTTGTATCATGAGTTTCTTAGGCTCTATCCAAAAGATGAGATAGGGTGGATTAATCGTGGATTCGGTATGGTAGGGAAGTTGTGTCAGTAACGCCAGATTCCAATCTCAGCCTTGCAAACCTCTAGCCATTTGGCTTTGAGTAGGGATTTATCCTCTCTGTGCCTTAGTTTCTTTACTTACAAATGAGATGTTTGTTGTAAAAAACACATGCATGAAAACTCCAGCACATAATAATTGCCCCCCAAAAAATGTGTATTTCTTTCTGTGTGATCAATCTGTCTTTCAGACTGGACTAATTTACTATTCCCTGTTGTTATTAGCACCGAATATTCTCATCTCATCATAATAACATTATCTGCTCTAAAAGTCTCCTGATAGAAACTTTCAGCTCCACCATGACAATCGGTCTTTAGTGTCTCTTGCTCATCTATAGCTTTCTTAACCCACCTCTTGCTGCTTTAGGCCTTAAGAGTAATAAGTCCTTTGGGTTGCTTTCTTGTGAGCAAAGGCAGCAAAGGGAAGTGTTATGTGGGGCAAAATTTCTGTTACTATAGCAATAGCTCTTTAATGGGTACAAAAGATTAACATGTGTAATGTAAGGTTAACATGATGATCACTGTTATTGTTTGTCCATGAAATATTTATTCTTCTGGAGCCTCTCATATTTTTGACATTAGAAACGGTCTTCAAAGAATTTTGAAGCAGGAGACTTGGGAAAAATGATTCTTTCCGTGATTTCTCTTGCTGTGTTTCTTTTCTCTGCTACATGTATCAACAAAAGCCTGAAACCACTTACACATGATCCATCACTGTATAACCTCTGGGCTTTATTTTCTTGACCACTGCAGCATCAGACTACTAAAGAACGCAGTGGCTGGCAGCTGTAGGTATAGTGCATTGCATTTATCTTCATTGTACTGAGGACATTTTCTGACAGTGACTTAGAAGCAAATACTTTTTTTTTTCCCAAATAAGTATTTTGAAGAGTAATTCGAATGCTAATTGAAATGAGGGGTTGATAGTGGCACACAGCTTTCCCGTACAGCTCTGACCATTCACTTCCATCCAGACGCGCGGCAGGCCTGCTCTTCCTGTCCCGGGCTTCTGCAGAGCAGAGCTTCAGAGTCCTTATTGCCAAAATGCACAAGTAAGTTGAACCACTCAGTTTGTTTGTTTTTTCTGAGCTTGCGTGAGCTGTGACCTCTGAGGGCTGACTTAACTGTGCTGAAAATCTATTTCCTATCCTAACCTATTTTATACGTGAGAAAAGGAATTAAAATCTTGAATTCTTTTTCAAGGAACAGTATAACTAAACTAATGTTCTCCTATCATGCTGGCTCACCAGTTCTAAAATCTTACTAAAAGTGAGTGTTATTGACTAATTGCCCCAGACTTTGAAATTTATATTTTTACCTGGGATTTGTTGTTCTTTATTAAACCTGAATCAGGATGAATATTCCTTAAGAAAGTGGATCTCAAACTTTGGTGTGCTTAAGAGTCACGTGGGACACTTACTATAAGTGCAGATTCTTCTCCACTCTATAGAACAGAATCACATCCAGGAGGGTCAGGCCCTGCACTTTCAATAAACGGCCCGCTAAAATTTGAGGACTACTGCCTTCAAAGTTTGAAGATGATTTCTTCTTTGGCGGGCTTGTTTCTTTATTTTGAAGCTGGGTTTGTTTTCCTTTCTATTCCCCCCCCAACCCCGCCACCATTGTTTTTTTTTTATTTCCCCCTTCAAATAGAGTTCTCTTTCAACAAGGACCTGGTTGAAAACATTACCTTAGGTAAAAACACCAGCAGTAATAAGCTAATTTTCTTATGGGATGTCGTGGACTTGTTTAATACATCTTGCCTTTTAGGTGATCAGTAAGTAATTTTTGGTTGACTGACGATTCATACTTTAAGAAATATCTATTATTAGATGTATTCTAATATTTATAAAAAATTAATAGAGGAATGACTTAATAAATTAAGTAAACATTTCATAGTATTTTTAATAGGCTCCTACTTCTCTCTTCAAATGTTCCAAATATCCTGACCAATCCACCTTCCTGATCAATAAATTAAGAAGCACATGTAGGACTTAAATAACATAAATAATATTTATGCCATAGAGTGGAGAATACTTACAATTATATTAATTAATAGTACCTATTAGAACATAGGAGAAGGCCTGTGTGCATGCGCCATACAACCTTTAAAGCAGGGATTCTCACACTTAAACATGCATCAGAATCACCTGGAGAGCTTGTTAAACCAGAGTGCAGGGCCCCACCTCCAGAGTTTCTGATTCTATCCATCTGGGATGAGGCTGAAGAATCTGAATTTCTAACAAGTTCCTGGGTGACACTGATGCCGTTGGTTGTGGACCACACTTGGAGAAACTTGTTATACAAAAGAAGGAAATTTTTAAACAGAGCAACATGTGACTCAGAAAATGTCAGTGAAAAATGCCTTGGAGATCATCAAAACTAGCGGTTTACAAAGTTTTTTTTTTAACCTGTGGGATTCCCCTCGTCACCACCCCTTCAATGAGTTCCCTGGAACTTTGATTTATAAAATAGTTAAAAGTAATAAATGTCTATCTTAGATTAAAATGCCATTGTTTATAGAATGTACTTTTCTCTACATAGATCTTCCTTACACAAACACACACAGAAGAGTACTCAATACAGTTGTCCCTGGAGTGGACCCTGAAAAACCGTGGATAAGAAAAGCAAAGTCCAGAGAGGGAGCAGCCACATCACACAGCCAGCAATTGCTAGAAAGATGCAAGTGGATATTTGTATTAAGCACATGTCTTTTCTACTATTGGTGGCCAAAGTTTATATCTTCTACCTTTACCTTATAATTTTATTTCACGTTTAGTTTCTAATTCCTCACATTTAGACTAAATATTTATCTGTATTATGACTATGCAGTTACTTAATCAAATTCCCAGCTGAACTATGGAGTACTTCTTAAGAAAATTGTCATTCTTAACAAAAATTATTGAAGAAGGAAACCCAACTCTTTCATAATGGTATCTAGTTAGTTAAGTCTTTGGAACGCCTCCTCTCTCTTTTTTTCTTTTAGCCTTTTAGGCAGGTCACCTTGACTTCAACATTCATTAGCTCTGTTTTTTGTGAAGAAATTGTCTCCCTTCTCATCCCCTTCTAGTTTCCCAGGTCACTTTGGAAATATTCTTCCAGGTTATATAAGTGCATGTTGTAACAACTAATGGCAGTAGGTAAAACCTCCATTCAGTTCCTTTTATTTCTGTGAAAGCATAAGGGATCCCACGGAGAGCGTTCTTTCTCTTCCCTAGCCTGTAAGTCAAGTTCTGGTTCTCATGCAAAAAGGAGGAGGAGGAGCAAGCAAGCAAGGCTTTCAGACATGGTACTGTTAAAGAACCTAACTTAGCATTGCTAATTGAAGACTGTGTAACCTGGATTGTACCCAACTATTGTTTGACTAAGGAGCCCTGGTGGCATAAAAGTTAAGAGCTCAGCTGCTAACTGAAAGGTCGGTGGTTCAACCCACCAGCAGCTCCGTGGGAGAAAAGACCTGGCTATCTGCTCCCGTAAAGATTACAGCCTAGGATAGCCTATGGGACAGTTATACTCTGTCCTACAGGGTCACTATGAGTCAGAATCAACTCCACGGCACATGACAACAACATTTTTTGACTAAATGGCAGTGTGTGATTTCTGCTCCTAGAAAGTACACAGAATATGACATTAGGTATATTATTCCACAAGCTTAAATATTATAAGTATAAACATATGTGGTCACATAATAAAAAACTAGAAGGTGGTTTCATGTACTAGCTATGTGGGGAAAACTAGACTTGAGTATCATTCAAATATAAACAACTCACTTAACTGGAAAACACCCTTTGACAACATTTTGCTTAAGTCGTGATTGTCTTTAAACTTGTGAGGGAGTCTCTGCCCTGAAGATGTGTATTGGGAGAAGCTCAGGATTAAAGATTAGAAATGTTGGATTCTAGTCACACATCCACCATTTATTAGCTCAACCTGTCTGAATCTCAAATTCCTCATCAGTAAAATGGGGACAATAGGCCTTGCTTTCCTGCCTCATAAGGTTTAGTAAATGTACATATACACATTTTTGAATTCTAAAGCTCTATATAAATGGGCAGCTTTTAACTCCTTCATCTTCACTAAGAAGGTAATTTCTTCTTACTTGCCATAATTTTTATTGTTGTTGTTCTTTCTTTCTCTGCCACTCATATTTCTTAACAAAACTTTCAAACCCAAAGTTTGGAACCTGATTCCCTAGAGTCTGCTGTTATAGGTGGTCTCAGCAACACAAGTGGTCAAATAAATAAATGTATAAGTTGCACACCAAAATCTATTGCTGCATATATAATAAGTAGCATGGGATAATAAGTAGCATAGAATTATTATATAATAATAAGTGGCATAAAAAAAAACAACGTAAAGACCACTTGGTGCAATGAATTCCAAACTAATATTTTAATATGAGGAAACCCTTGGTTTAAACAAAATCCAATGTGGAAAACAGATGGGAGCAGAGGGAGTCCAGCTGAAATGGGGTCCTAGGGCCCCTGTGGACCTTGGAGGTGCTTCATGAAACCCCCAATGCACTTCAGAACACAGCTGAACACTGCCCTTGAGATCACAGAGATGAGAGAGATAGTCGTGTGTTGATGTTAATAAGGCAGGGCCACCAAGCAATGCTGAAGATTTGCAGTTCAACAAGGCAGGGAAATATGCAGTGTGATCTGGAAAGATTTCCATTAAAATTTTCAAAATCTTAAAAGTATTATCTTTTGAAGAATGTGGTTATAATTTTCCTAATAAAAGCACTTTGAAATGCATGACTTGATGATGCCAGATAAAAACGGCAATGGCATTACTATGGTATTAAAAAAAAAAGGTAGAACGTCAAACTGGACGGGAGGGTTGAACAAAGTAGGCTATAACTTTATAATGTTAACATAGGTGAGACTAAGCAAAAATAAGGCTAATCCATATTTTGAAGTTGAGAGGACTGCCGAATTTCTTCATGAAATGACTGCAAGTGAAGAAAAGCATGCTTTGAAAGGAACAGCAAATTTTGTAACACTGTTTAATGCTGAATCCCAGATTGAAGGGGTTTTAACATTTTAGCTACTTTCTCTGGCTTGCTCTATATGTTATTTTCCTCGAAGAGATTATATGGCCATTTTTAGTATTGACTCATTAATTTTTTAAAAATCTGTTTTTGTACACTGGCTTGAGTATTGTGATTTAGAATTTAACATCATTAAAAATCATGGAAGAAAATATTCAAATAACTGGAATTAGAAATAAGTGCAGACATATCTGCCAATATAAATCACATATGTAATTTCAAAAATAATATTAAATATTCGTGATGAAAGTTTCAGGCAAGACATCTTGGGTAGGTATATCGATTTTGTTATCTGGTTTATTGTACCTTAAGCAGTTCTTCAGTGAGCTGAAATTCAATTATGTGTTTCCTAATGTGGCAAGAAAAAAGTTTTTAAATTATCTGAAAAGAATTTGTAATTAATCTTGCAGCTGAAAAACCAACTGTAAAATCCATTTATAACATGAAAAAATAGATCTTCAAAGGCATTAGTAATTACAAATTAAATATCACAGTGTGGATGAGACCTTTGATATTTGTGTTTATTTTATGCATATTTTGACACATGCGAATATTTTCTGATATTCGTAAGTATCTACATCTTGTTATTTTAAGAGTAGAAAAGTTAGACTGTATTTTGAGCCCACTCACCTCTTTTATACAATAACCTTAAATTTATCCTAAGATGATAATATAATAATTTACTAATAATAAATTAATAGTATTAATAGTATAATTAATAGTATTAATTTATGACCAATGACTAATAATTTCATGAATTTTTTTTCTTTTGAAAAATGGTAACTGCCATTTTTTTAAATTGTTGCAACAAGGGTAATACCAAATGAGATATTTTGGTTTAAAATATGATATGCTAATTCAGTTCTCCTTTGCCAAAAGTTTCAGACCCAAAGTTTACATCTGTCAGACCTACACAGAAAATCACATCTTTGGAGAGGAATAGTCAGTATCACCTTGATTGAGGGACGAGACCTCAAGGCAATGGATTCAAACGGGTTGAGTGACCCCTACGTGAAGTTCCGGCTTGGACATCAGAAATACAAGAGCAAGGTAACCATATCTCTGTTGTGTTCCTGTCAGTATTTGGAAGGCGGTAGTTCTTAATACCTGTGCTTTGAGAGATGAAAACACTAGATCTTAAAAAAATACTTTATAGAGCTTCTTTTGAATATCAGTATCAGATAACATGACCAACAATTGTACTGCATTTCTTACTTTATGAGTTATGTGACCATGGGTAAACTGCTTACTTAACTTCTCTATGTCTCAGTTTCTTCATATATAAAACAGGAATGATAGTAGTACCTAGCTCTTAGCATGGCTATGAAAATTAAAAAAAAAAAAATTGTGGGAAGAACATAGGTCAATGCCCGGAGTATAAAGTGCTCACAAGTATTGGCTATTGTTATTACTACTGCTACTACTACTAGCATCAGTATTGCCAAGAGCATTATTTTACAGACCAGAAGTCTTTGTACATCTCTCTGAGCCATTTTATTCAAACTAATGTGCACCAATGCAGACTGCAAGATTTTTTATTTATTTAGAAACAAACAAAAATAACACACGTGCAGAATGTGCTTCTTAGTTCAATCAAGTATACGAGACCAAATGGGCAGCTCCTGTCTAGAAGCAGGACAAGAAGGCAGGAAGGGACAGGAAACTGGACCAATGGATACAGAAAAGGGGAGTATGCTGTCACATTGTGGGGACTGCAACCAATGTCACAAAACAATATGTGTGGAAATTTTTGAATGAGAAATTAACTTGAGCTATAAACCTTCACATAAGACACAATAATAATAGTAAATAATAAAGCCAGATTTCTACTGTCACTAGCTGTTTGAGGCAAGTTACTTAGCCTCTCTCTGTCTCAATTTTCCCATCTGTAAAAATGAAAATTAAAATGATATCTACCAAATAAAGTTATTCAGAAGATTAAATGAATATATGTAATGTATGTAAAGGGTTTAGAATACTGCCTTACCTGTCTATAATAAGTACTCAATAAATGTTAGCAGCAAAAGGAAAATAATCAATATATTGTGTAGTAATAATTATATTAGTAGTAATAATATATTAATATTATTATTATTTTATTATTGACACAAGTAATAATAATAAGTAAAAGTCATAGTAGTCAGTTATCTTTTGGGCACGTGTCTTATCTGTGTTGTATCCAGATATGACCTCTTTAATGGTCAGTTTTTAAAGTTGAAATTCATAGATAGTTTGAGACAACTGATTACATTCATCTTGTATTAAAGATCACATTCCACTCTGATGAAATTCTTTCAACTTGGTGTCATCCTTTTTCTGGGTTTTTGATAAATGCCTGCCTAAGTTCCTTCTGGCCCAGGAAGCTTTCATCAGTCCTTAAGGTAGTTAGAAATGTAACAGTGCTGATTCATTAGCAACCAGTGAGTACTGCTAGCATGCTGATTGGTTACCTTATTGAGTGCCCACATGAAAAGGGAAAGCATGATTTCTGACCTGAAGGAAATCTTGTAGGCAGGGTCCGATCACCCAGTAAGCAAGGTAAGCACTGGCTTACTTGTGATTATTTACTAATCTGTAGTGAACAATTTCACATGGGTTTCACCACATCTGTGAAAACGTCTGCGGTGAAACCCATGTGAAATTGTTCACTATATATTAGTAAGAAAGCACAATTAAGCCTGTAATTACTTTGCTTACTGGGTAATCTGTCCCGTCAGGGATTGTAAATTTAAAAAGAGGCTTTGATTCTGTAGGAAGGTGCTGTGGGATTGGGAGAGAGAAAGATTTCAGCCATAACTAGAGGCAGAATCTTCGATGTGGTGAAAAAATGTTAAATTGTTCACTACAGATGATCTGGTAAGCAAAGTAAACACCGTGCTTACCTTGTCTACTGGATAATCCACTCCTACATATAGGGAAGACAACCCTGAAAAAGAAAACTGAAAAGTTAGGTTGTATAAGGCCAAATAGGTAAGAAGGACTACTCTCCAAAAGGCCATAGTAGATCATCTGAGCCTCATTATGAGGCATTTGAATTATCATAGCATTCATCCAGTGCCATCTGTATTTTTTCTGCCATGGGGCTTAATAATGTATTGTGACCAAGCTATTGATTCCAAAAATAGGTACCTATGGCCACTTCTATCTTTTCCTTTACCAATTAACACCATTTCCATGTTCTAGTAGGCTTAAAACATTACTTATTTTTATAGTTCTGCTCTTTAGATATGAAATATAAAACCCAGCTATGGACATGTGTCTCTCTTTGCTCTTTCCTTCCATGATCTATTGCTGATTAATTTCAGATTATGAACTTTAAAAATTGTGATTCATTTGCATTACCTTTTCACATACCATACTTCATTGCTTTCGAACTCTTTACATCTGAAGATCTGTCTGTCATACATTAAAAAGAGAAAAGGACACTGTATGCCCCCCTGCTAAAAAGAAAGACCAGGGAAACAAACATGAATTTTGCTTAACCCAACGGTGGATGGAATTTTAAAACATATCAATATAGATTGCTCCGTTCACTGATTCAATCAGATATCTTGATACTTGAAGTTGCAAAATTGTATCTATACATATAATATATACATATATACACACAGAGAGATATATAAAGGAGCCCTGGTGGCACAGTCGTTAAAAAGATTGACTGCTAACTGAAGATTGGCAGTTCAAAACCACCAGTGGCTCTGCGAGACACAGATGTGGCATCTGCTTCCATAGAGATTGACAGCCTTGGAAACCCTGTGTGGTCACTATGAGTTGGAATTGACTCAGCAGCAGTGGGTTGGGTGTATATTATATAATCTCCATGTTACATTCTTGCATATGTAATATGGAGATTATATATATATATTTATATTTAATAATAATATAATAAATATATTTATTAATTCACAAACTTTTGAGCATGGTCTTGGAGAAAATTCTGAAGCTGCAGTCAAAGTCTTGAGTTAGTGTGTATATACTTAAACTCCAGGTCTCAGTTTCTCCACATATAAAAGGGGGTGATACATCAGTGCTCCCTCTGAGGAAAAGTTTACCTGGCCACCTCAAAGTTTCTTACTTTTTCCTCATGCTCTCACAGAACTTCATTGTCTGGTTTGCACATATTCAGCTCAGAATTCCGATGTGTAAGGGGAGTAAGAAAAACTCTAAGAACTCTCAGCTTCCTCTGTTATGAGATGAATGGCTATGACATGTATGTTTTCATGCATTAACCATGATTATGTAAAAGAAATGATGGTATCTGGGTGAGCTATTTCATTTATAGACTGTTCCCCTTTTCTATGTAATTAATGTCTCTCATCTGCTATTCAGGATGATCAGGAGGTGCCTTTTAATTTTCAGGGCACATCATTTAGGATCCTTTCAGATGATACGAGGTAAAGATGCTAGAAACTCATTTCCATAATGTCTGGATCTTTTGCTCTAATAGCACACTTACATGTTTCTGTAGGTAGTACCTGAAGTTTGATTTTGTGTCTTAAGTTAAATTTTTTAAAGACTAATATTGATTAATTTTTTATTTTTCCAGATTATGCCAAAAACTTTGAATCCTCAGTGGAGGGAACAGTTTGATTTCCATCTCTATGAAGAAAGAGGAGGAATCATTGATATCACTGCATGGGACAAAGACGCTGGGAAAAGGGATGATTTTATTGGAAGGTTTGTGCAGTTTTTGCTTTTGTTGACCTTAGAGAGGGTAGGTAGATTTTGTTAAAAGAAGTTTTGTGTTAAGTCTGGTTAGTGTAATCGATCTTTAGTGTTTTGAAGGAAGAGATCTTACCATTGGTAAGGCAATGATACTTGGATGAACTGAAAAGTAGATTTGAAGACTGACCAGTAGGTGGCAGTTTTGACCAGTTGATGGACAGAGGCTCTCTGACTTGGATATCCATCCAGAAATTTTCTCCAGATGTCAGAAATACTGTGTGTAGAAGTTCTGGGAGTTGAAAAACAGGAATCTCATCCGATATAAAATACTTAAAGGAACAAAGACCATATTCATAGTCTGTAAAGTGATCTGAGATAATATTTATTTTCATAAAGCATATTGTGACCATAAAATGCATTATTTCCTACAACTCCCTACAAAGTAGAGAATCTTTATAAGCTCTTAGGAGTTCACAAATCTGTAAAGAGTTCCCAAGTTTTAGTGAAGGAAGCATGGTAAGCGAGGCAGATCCATGTTAATCTGATAAGTGCAGTGAAGAAAAGGGTGTTTTGAAGCTTGCATGACATCGCCTCAAAGCCAAGGTTATTTTGAATAACCACTTGAATCATATGAATGGTTTTCTTATTTTAAAGACTATTTTTATATTTTTTGATAGTGATATATGTGTTTTTGTATCAAACCCACTGAAATCAGACAATATTGAAATAAAGCATTGGTGTATGGAAGAATCTATTAGTTTAAAAAATTCTTTATTCATTGTAGTTTCTATGATTTTCAAGTCTTTAAACATAAACATCTAAAAAATTTTATACTTTAGAAAAGTGAAAACAGGAATCCAACCCAACATATTTATCTCTTCATTTTTTAAAATGATTCTGATATATATATGTTTTAAGCAATGGTTTTCTTCGTAGAAATATAAAGCGAGAGATCAAAGATTAGCCTCAGTTAACCTCTAATATTTTACTTATAAAATGAAATTGAAAACCCATCATTGTAATCTGATACTATGTTACATTTAAATCCTTTTTAAAAGATAGGCTTTCATTGTACTTTTTCCCTTCAGTAAAACACTATTTTCAGAGATTTCTTAAATATCTTGTTTTCTTAATGGGGATACCACTAGGATAAGTATAGATATACATCTGTTAGTACACTTAATACATTTTATTTAATTATATGTTTAAGTCTGACTCGCTACATAGATTATGAACTCTTTCAAGTAGGTGCTATCTAGCTATTACTTAAAGGATTAATTTTAAGAGTTACTAAAATTTCCTCAAAGTTATGAGCTATGTTTTTTGTAGTTTAGGGAAACATTAGCTGTATTGGTGACCACAAGATAATCAGGTTGATGATCATCTGTAACTTGCTACCTCGACTTCATTACCTTATATTCAATTTTTTCCTCTATTAATAAAATCATCTACTGGCTCCTTGGACTTCTGGGTCTGTCTTACATTAAGTCCTTCTTATGTTCACATACTGTATCAAATTAGGCTCCCATTTTCTATTGATTTTTGTTTCATAATAACGTATTTTTTTCTCTGTTTTTGGAAATTATAAAAAATTTCTTAGCCCATTTAGTACCACCTTTCTCTTTCTTCACTTGTTAATAGTATGAATTCTTTAAGACTGTGAATATAGTATACAGAAATGGTTGGCATAGATATGGGCCTATTTCTCTCACCTTGCTTTGTTTCTAGGGTTTGCACGTATTTTAGCCAATTCTGAGAGAACAATGACAGATGACTGGGTAGAAGGACATTGGAGATTTCTCTAGATACCTGGAGGAGCTAAGAAAGTCTTATGAGGTTTTTGAAAAGAGGAGAAATCCATTTTCATAGGTATAATTGCCTATGAAAGCACTTTGAGCCAAAAAGTTTCAGAGTTCAGAAACAATAACACAGGTGTAGACCAGATGACAGCTAGGACAGTTTTTGAATACCAGTTTGAACAGGTTTATACAATGAAGGAAGTTATTGTTGAATTTTGAGATAATCAACAACGGACAACAGAATCTTGTTGTACACTCTGCTAATTTAAAAAAGATGCCTGTTGCAGAAAAAGGAAATGATACGGTGAACCATAATTTCAAGTCTAATTTGATGCCCAGAAAGCACCAGAAACTCCAGATACCAAACTTTATGCTTATTAAGTTGTACTTTAAACACATTCTGCACTGAAAAACAATACATTATTATACTTCAGTGGCAGGCAAATAAAGTTGCTTGTGTTTATTTAAAGATTGCATGGCAACAGTGGAGATAATGGATTATAATAGAATTTCTTAATTCCTAGACTAGTTTAGAACCAAATTATTTACCTTCCAATTAAATTTAAGTTCCAACGGCAAAGTAAAAGGAGTAAAATTGTCATTGTGGTCTTTGCCTTCTTTTGCAAGCTATCTTTGCAGCATTCCCATCTGTATTGACTTAAAAATTAGACACTATTCTGAAAACGTGGCTGTTGGCTGGTGAGTGAATTTAAATGTTATCATGGAGGGTAATACCGACCCACCTTTGGGTAACAACCTTTTTAAGGATACTGTCCAAACCAGTTCCAGATTTGAAAACACTTGTATGGATTAGACACTCCTTGGAAATCCTGTGGGGCAGTTCTGCTCTGTCCTATAGGGTCGTTATGAGTCGGAATCGACTTAACGGCAACGGTTGTGGTCTAAACCAGTTCCAGATTTGAAAACACCTGTATGGATTAGAGTATCTATATAGACTAGTTCATTGTGCTATACAGTAGTTTTGTTATGGTCTACTTTATTTTCCAGTATTGATCACATATAATGATTTTTGAAAATATGTTTTATAAATGCAAAATCAGTAGTAGAGTTTTTTTCATAATAAAAACAAGACTGGCTATGGTGAAAGAATCAGTTGTAAATCTGGAGTTGGAGTGTCAAAACAAAACTGTTTTAACACTGAATATTCCCACTCTTATACACACTTAAGGAGTCCTTGGTTGGCACAAACCGTTAAGCATTCAACTACTAGCCAAAGGGTTGGCAGTTAGAACCCACCCAGAGGCGCTGCAGAAGATAGGCCTGGTAATCTGCTTCTGAAAGGTCACAGCCTTGAAAACCTCATGGAGCAGTTCTACTCTGTACACATGGGGTAGCCATGAATTGGCATCGGCTCTATGGCAACTAACAACAACATTCTCGCTTGAACTCATGCAGTCAGGTTTTGCCCCCAACAATACACCAAAACTGCTCCCGTCAAAGTCACCTATGATCATCAGCTTGTTAAATCCAATACCCAAAATTCAGCATGCAGGATTTGGCTCATCATCTCCTTACCCTTGAGACATTTTTTCATTTGGCTTCCAGAACATCGCACTCACCTTGTTTTCCTCTTACTTTATTACGTTCTCCTTCTCGATCTCCTTTGTACATTTCTCCTCATCTCTCCTCACATTTTAATTCTGGAGAGCCTCAGGGCTCACTCCTGGGACATGTTTGTTCATTCTCTCCCTTGGTGACTTCACAAACTCTTGTGCTTTAAATATTGGTTGACAACTACAGATGTAAAGCTCCACGCCAAAACTCTTCTTTGAACTCTAGGTTTTTATAACTGCCTACTTGATAGCTCCACTTGAATGTCTAATAGGCATCTCAGATTCAGCACATCCAAAGCCAAACTTCTGATCCCCGCTCCCCCAAAATTTGCTCTACCTTCTGGCTTCTCCCTTGTTTATTGTTAAGGACAAAAATCTTGGAGTCCTCTTTGATTTCTTTCTTTCTCTCACTCTCATCAAAATCCATCAGCAACCTGCTAATATTTCCCTCAGCACATGTTCAGAATTCACTATCTCTCACCATCTGCATCATTATTATTCTGGCCCAAACCCCCATCAGCTTTCTCATGGATAATCTCAATAGCCTCCTAACTAACCTTCTTCCTTCCACCCTCCAGCTACCCCCAACACTCTGTTCCCTGTATAGCAGCAAGAGTAATATTTTTAAAACGTAAATAAAAGAATTTAACTCCTCTGTTCAGAATCCTTCAGTTATTTCCCATCTTAATCTGGGTAAAACCAAAGTCTTTATACTGGCCTATAAAGCTCCTCATGATTTGACCCTGTTACCCTTTCCCCTCAACTTCTACTATTCTTCCCCTTACTCCACTCTACTTTGCTCCAGCCACGCTGACCTCTTTACTGTTCCTTGAACATGCCAGACACCCTCCCACTTCAGCCCTTTGCCTATGTCTTCAGGTATCCACCTGCCTTGCCTCTTCACCTTCTTTACATCAGTACATAAATGTCACTTCAGGGAGGCATCCACACCAACTCTATTTAAAATTGAAGTTCTTTTCCTTAATTTCTACTGTATTTTTCTCCATAAAAGTTATCAGCATTTGACATGATATGCATTTCACTATTTTATCATCTGTTTCCCGTCACTAGAACGGAAGCACCATGAGGGCAGGGATTTTTGAGTGTTTTATTCACTGTTGCATCCTCAGTGCCTAGAAAGGTCTCTGGCACATAACAGGTGCTCAATAAATATTTGCTGAATTTGAATTTAAATACCTGAAGCTTGATTTAATACTGGAAATTATAACTCTTTCTTCTCTAAATAAATATAGAATCTGATACCAGGCATTACTGAAAAGGTAATTAGAACAACGTGACAGCATGACTTAGTGGAAGGTATAAAGTTTCAGTACAAATATGGAAAGATGTTTGGGTATAATGCAAAAGGGGAGAATTAATGAGTTTAAGGGTAAAATCAACTGAGTAATCTTCATATTTTAAAAATAACTAAATTGTTGTATTTGGGGGGGAAAAGTAGCCTATACATTTATCAAGATACTCATACCATAACCTTTTCATCATTATGATACCTGGGGAGTTAATGCCATCTGATTTTTAAATTTTATGCAAGGATAGATTACACAATGAATGAAAGGAACAGTAATAATACTTTACAACTTACAGGGCACTGTATTAGTTTCCTACAGCTACCATAACC